TTGGAAACCGTAACGTGCTTTGTGGCTTTTACAACATTGAAAATTGTGGAAGTTCGTCTTTTTTATCGTTTTTGTTTGAGTTTGCTACACCTCAGTTGCCCCTGTTAAGACTCCTTTCAAGGGAATGCATGATTTTCCCGAAAAACGCATCGTAAAGCATTCATTCACGAGATCGAAACTGGCTAACAGGTAGTTGCATGTCACATGTTGAGTTCTTGCCCATCATAATTTTAAGCATCACCCAGCTAAATTCAAAATCCTCCAAATTGGAGTGTTAGTTTTGCTTTGATCATGCATAATGCGAAATCTGAATGACTTACCAATTGTTAACAGAAGGCACACAAACTTTTTAACATCCTCGTTGAGCTCCTGTCTTAATAGACACCAGTTCTTTATTCAGCTTTTGCCTGATAGAGCTTGCGCATTGTATAATGAGACAAACGTCAATGTACTGTTTATGTCACCATTCATCAGTGGTGCCACCTGACTACGTGTATTAACCTGTTGAATGGTGCGAATTCACAATCAGAGATTGACGTTTGTCTCAACATACGATGCGTGAGCTCTAGGTACATATTTTGATAATGAGGAGGAACTGAGTTCCGCTTATTTTATCATACACAGCCATAGATACTATGGTGACATAACCCCCTCTTTGATTTATAAAAGTTTTCTCTTTCAGTAACAGAAAAATTACAAATAGTCTATCATATCTTTTCACCTTCCTGTGCCTTTTAGGTACCAATCGCATTTACTTATATGAGCAATTTGCCAACCGTATCATTCTTACTTTTGCGAAAAGTAACCCTATACTATCATCCTCCGCAAGATTGTCTACAACTGCCTTTTGCATGTTTTCAGACTGAGCTGACAATTGTTTCAAGATGACTGACACAACCAGTGAGAATATACTGAAAACGCCTCCTCAGTGGAAAAGGCCAGATGAAGTCATGCGGATGCACCGACTTAAAATAAAGAAACAGTCTCTCCAATGTCGTATGAAAGGTTGTGAAGCTCCTAAAGCTCCTGAAACAAAGAAGATTGAGGAATCCAAGCCGAGTGAACCTCAGAAAGCATTCCGGAATCCATTCAAGTAAGATGAATCTTTGAACCCGACAACTGATGAAGTATGCGTGCAAATTATTTCAAATTTTTCTTTTTTCAAGAATTTGATGTTTTAATATAATAAGGACTAATAATTTGATGTTCATGACAAGCAACTCAAGTCTCTTGTGTGTGCCATTGTATCTAGCCTGTTATCTTAGTAATTACACTACTTTTTATGTCGACTCCGAATCTCTGAATTCCTCCTCACCTGTTAATTTTGAATGAAAGGCTCAGAACTAATGAGTTTAACCTTCCAAGCCTCAATTAAAAATATCCTCTGTTTTGACTAATACTTTGACTTTTTGTACCTAAGGAAACCCTTAGCAGGTCCAGCAAATTGTAGCGGTGTGAAGCGTCTTCGAGAGGAAGATGATGAAGAAGATACTTCTTTGGATAGTTCATTGTTTCGGTTGATGGGGATCAAAAAACAGACACAGCCTCCACAATTAGATCTCAACTTTAGTAATTTAATGAAAAAAATCAACTCTGCGGATCAAGAGGTAAATGTTTGAATGCATCCTTTAATAATTTAATCCTTTCTTTGATTTCTTGAATTCTGCGTCAGATATGTTTGGCAAATTAATCCACTGTATTGGAATTTCAGGTCATTTGAATCTGAAATAAACTTGCAGAATGAATAATTCAGCATTTTCAATTAAAATAAATGTGAAACCCTAACTGTATTAAATGAGCTTTATAGCTCATCCTCCCAAAGAATAAGATAATATTTGTGACAAGTCATGTTTATTTTTATTTGCAACTGGTGCGTGTAGTTCAGCTTGAATTGTTGCTCTGAGGAAACAATTTATTGCCACTCTTGCAGGGTGACCAGGTTCTTGGAAAATCAAGAAAACTCTGGGGAAATAAAAACAAAATCTCGACCTTGTAAATTCAAGAAATCGTCCTGGCAAGCATTGAATTTTCTCATTCGATCAGATTTTTTGCATGGCTCCAATGGCATTCATGCTCTCTATTAGTAGGGCTTTATTTTTAACTTTTTTTCTGGTGAAAAACATTTTCATGCATGAAATCCTTATGAAGTCTCCAAAAAATTTCATGTTTCAAAAGCTTCAGAAATCAAGGTGAAGTCAAGAAATTTCGAAATCGAAAGAAACCAGGGGTTGTGACATCTTAAAAGTTTCCAGTACTTCTCATCCTAGTGTACTTTAATCGTTTTTGAATTTTCATATCCTTGAAGGTGTTTCCATTTTTTCGAATTTTGAAGTCCTTGAACATCACTGAATTTTTTGAATTTGCTGAAATGTACCTAGCTATGAAGAATTTTGAAGCAGAGAATTTTAATTTTATAAACAATCTTCAGTCGGTAAAAAATACTTTAATCTCTCGAAATTACAAATTAAAACTCCTTAAAGAGCTCTTGAAAGTTCTTCTATAAAGTTGCCAATGAACCCTGGAAACTTGTTAATTACTCTGTCTCATTAATTGTATGTTGAATACATTTCAAAAAATAATTTTAACACACAAATTATATCTCAAGTGCATCCCTTTTATTTCATCTCTTCCATTTCATTTTATTTTTTCAGTTCTTGAATGTTGGAAGTAGAAAAAAAAGAAAATTTATTCCTGTCGATTGGACATTAAGGACAAGAATTCGACTAATGTCATCAAAACCATTTCCATGGAACCACAAGCTGAAAACTTGTGAGGAGGCATCAGGTACAACAGGGTTAGTAAGTTTTCCCCGCTTCACAGCCGAAATTTCAATCTCTACTTATTTTACATTCGAAACTCAAACATCATGTAGGTCGTCTCAACGACCCACACCAAAAATTAAAGTGAAGTACTTATTAAATGTTTACAGGGTCAGAAAATATCGTTTTTTTAAAAAAAAAAAATTATTCTGTCAAAAAAATCCACAACATGCGTCAGACAGCTTCTTCAGGAAATCTCCAAGTATTTAAAAGAAAGATATTACAAACAGCAGCCCTGACACTCAAGTCGTTTTCAAATTCAAATGCTGAACGCTGTCGACTTGAAAATATAACATAAGTAAAATTGGTTAAAGAGAAGATGAGTCAGCCTAATTATAAAAAAATGCACAGGCACCTGCAGCAAGATGAAATGAAATGACAAAAAGAGATATTCTCTGTGTATGTGCACTTTGTGGCAACCTAGCCTGCACACAAGAAACATGTATTTTTGTTTCCTGAACCTCTCCCCGTTGTTACCGTATATACCCGACATTTTTTGCTTTACAGGTTTGTGCGGTGTGTGGACACTCAATCAAAATCAGCAGACTCAAATTGTACCTTAGACACAAGTCCTAATGCAAGGTTTCATCAGTGTTGCCTAGCTTGGCAGTACCCTTCATTGCCATGGCTAGAATTATATCCACGTTCTGCAGCTCGACGATCAGCAGCTTCAACAACGATAAACTTCAACAGTCATCCAAATGCCAAAAATGCATTGTTCCAAGAGTGGACTGAGAGTTTCCGCTCCGTTTTCCAGGTAATTTCAAGGATGTTTGCTAAAGTATAAATTTAAAATTTAGTCTTCATGTCAGATTATTTATATTTTACTCCAAAGATTATTGAAGAAGTCAAATTTCCATGAAGCTGAGATGCCATCATTGTAGTGAATCAGCACTATGGTCACTTGGTCACGCAAGAAGAAGAAAACTCCTGTTTAATCAGTTCCCCTGAAGTAAAATTTTTGTATGATATTTATAATAATACATGAATAAACATATCGTACTCAAGGACTCCTCTAGACTGAACAATCGACCAGCTTAAGGCTCTATTTCTCAAATTCTCGTACAATCTTTTGACAACCAATTCTTCTGCCTCATGAAGTGATACATGTAGATCTAAAAAGAAAATAATCTTATGATAAACTTTGAGCAAATAATTTTGTTTATCTCTAAATGATAACTCTGGAGCTAGTAATTTAATTAATCTTTAATTTTTAATCCTTTAAAATAACGTAATGCCTTAACTTTTTCAGCTTGTCAGAGCACAACAATGCCCGTACTTTTACTTACTCGCCAATTCTTTTACTGTCTTATTTCGAGCTGCTGGAATTTGTGGTTATTCCGAAATTCATGCCTTCATCTCACCAACCACCCGTGGGCTGAGACAGTTACTTAAAAATGAAGGTATTCTGTAATAGTTTCTCATTTTAATGAAAAATTTTGTAGCAATATTACTTTCATCTCAAATTTCTCGAATTATCAATCCTATACTTAGATATTAAGAATTCTTTTTAGCTTTGGCCCCAAAGCAAAGACTCAACTGCAATGGTGTATTGGTGTTATCTGTTACTTGTGTAATGTTGTATTGTATCAGACCTTTTTTTAAAAATGTATGTCAAGTTGACCCTCACTTTTAATCAGAAAGAGTGGACGGCTTCTGCTGGCCAGCTCAATGTCCGGTTCTATCAAGAAGAAAGAAATGATGAACTGAAAAATAGATCATTTCCTTTCTCAAGGAAAAGAGAGAGATTAGATGCCTCTTCTCATTGGCTGTTTTAAAATAATTTCATTGTGATATCCTCTGTAGTTAAGCTAATTCTTCCAGTCATTAACAGAATGTGCCAAGAACAAATATGTCGTGGAAGTCACTGTAGATAAAAGGAGTTATGGGTCAAAAGACTGTTGCACTTAAAGATTTTAATAAGCAAATGGTTCAATTAGTGACTCTGTAAAATCTTACCTTTACTCATTCTCTGTATATTATTTTTCATAAAAACGTTCACATACAATGACAGATGGCCACGAAAATGACAATGGTTGAGAACATTAACGCAAACAGAAAATTTGGTAGGGATGTAGAAAGAGGCCAAGACAACAATTGATCTTGCCATTGTACAACAGTCCGTGTAACATATAATATCTTTGTTCTTTTCACTTAACCGTTTCAATTCAAATTATGATTGTAGATGTCGAGTTTTCAATGCCGCTGAAAGGTTCTGGGAATAAGACAACCTCTAAAAGGAGGAGTGGTGAAGTAGATTCAGACAATGTCCTTGAATCGACGCAAGGATTGCCATCAAATGATAACGATGAGGACCTGGAGATAGAAGATGATGGCACTGAAGAAATTCTTGAAAAACTTGGCGCAGAAGCTTCTGATATTAAGAAGCTCATACAATCAGAGGTAAGGGTTAGATCCATTCGATAGAGACAGTCAACTCAAACTGTTCTGTTTCTATATAGTACAAGCACCAACAACATTAAAAAATGCAGCAGTCCTCTCAATCCAGAATTCAATGACAAGCATGGTTTTAGCGCTCCCAAGGAACAAATTTGAATGATTTAATCGTTAACAATTTCTTCTCGTCGTTTTTCAATTGATCCTACCCATTTATAAATGTCCGAAAGTCGATGAAAACGATGAGAAACCTGATGAATGAGTCAGTTTCATTTTTCAAAGAATCATGTCTTGACCGTCCGAGATTATAAAGCAGCATAAAATAATTTTCAATGTAAACTTTCTATTTCCGATATCAGTAGAAGTATAGTACCTTTGAAATTGCAGTAGGTGATGTCGTCCAATGTGGTAATTAACATTTTGGATGACATCAATTACTGTATTTTTCAAGGAGTCATTATCTTTATTCATGTCTTACATACAAAGTAGGGTGTTTGGATAGGCCTTCTGCTTCTTGGCTATTTTTTGGCTTTTTGTTTCAAACTAACCCATGCAAGTGAAGCTTGACTATACGAACTTCCCGAATCACCCATTTTGAAATATTGGTTGCCAATTTTTACGTCCAAAGCAGATGGGTCCAAGCTGAGATGGTAAATTTTTTTAACAAAAAACAATTCAGGAAATTCCTCTTAAAAGATTCAGAAAAGCCAAGGGTGTATATTGACGGTGTAAGTTGGCAATCACATAACTCTGTCTGCGACATCACAGACTTCCTGTCATACTTTATTTTTTAAACAGAAAAGTACTCATCGGTAATTCTTTAAAACTGCTGTGATTTTTCTTCTCTGTACAAGGAAAATTCTGCATGAACTTCAAGGAATGATGTCAATTTGTTCTCCTTTAAAAAAATAACATACAAGTAGAGATTTTCAGCCAACGAGATATGTGATTGCGGATTTACGCCGTCAATATGCTTTGCCTTTATTCTGGATGCGAACTCTGAATAGTGTCTTGATTCTTCTCCAGTTTACAGCAATCTCCAAAGAGAGGGATACCATTTTATTTAAGATTTTTTACAGGATGAAACCATGATTCAGAATGAGGCAAATATTGATGGAACTCCCGAATCATTGGTTTGTGTTCAAGGTGTTGAGGCACAAGCTCTATTTAATTTACTTCTCAACTTCCGCTCTACCGTAGCAACTGTTGGCCCGTTGGCAGGAGTTCCTCCGACACTCATTGCGCCTGTTGCGTTCCATTCTGCCTTTTTACGCCCTCTGAAAGTAAGTTTTTTGCATAAAATACTATTCAGTTTATGATTTAAATTTTAAAAAATTGTTTTGATGTCATCTAATTTTTAAAGGTTATTATAAAGACTGATGGAATACTATGATCTGCTCGCCTGTCCTTAACAGATCGGAAATTTGACTCTTACCTCATAAATTGAAAATTCCACTTGATATTCTTCCCTGAACTCAAGATTTATCATTGATGTGAGGGAAATATCACTTTCTATAGTAAACACTCCATGCAAAGCACAATGGAGTATTGCCAACTTACTTTTCAATAGCCGTAGCATTTTTTTTGTATCACATTACAAGCAGGTTAAAACTAGCCGGCAAATACTAGTTTCCATAATGTAAAGCTGAATGTTCAATAATGGCTTGGATACTAATGGGATAGAATTTTCAAATTTCAGTTGTATGTAATTGTGGTGAAAGTTAAGACAGAAGTAAATGTAATTCAAAAGATTTAAACAAAAAAAAAAATTCCAGAAAATTAGAATAGAAAGTGTAGAGTGATCTAATATCATTTCTATTAATTTTAAAAACCTGATTCAAGAGCTAAGAAGAAAAGCAAGCAATTTCGACCCTTTGAATTTCAATTGTACTTCTAATAAATGAAAATGGAGTGGTTATTTGGCGGTGTGGTACCACCAAATAACATATTCTACGGCAGTATGGTACCGCCAAATAACATATTCTGTGGCGGTACCGTACTGCCAAATAATGTCATCCAAATAAAAAAGTTGTGCACAAAAGAGTCAAGGAAAATTCTTACCAAAATTACTACCATTTACTCGTCTTCATTGGACGAGTGGACCCTTGTACTCTACCTCTGCTGGAATAGGTGTGGAAGTGAAGAAGCACCTCAAATGTTTCTAACCGTACACACCCCGACAAATTTGTTTAGTCTCCCGCAGTCTGAAAACATATTTGAAAACATGCCCATTAATTCTGATCGAGATTATTTAATTATTTCTCCCTGTTTAGGTTCATGAAAGCAAACTTCGAACCAAAGATGGAGCGAATTATTACAGTATGGAAATTTGCGGTCCAATCCTACCTCAAATGATACACAATATCTGTGATTTACTGCATGTACCTTTGTCAGAATTTTCTCTGACATTCGCCAACGTCGAATCAACCAAACCATTCTCTTTAGCTCATTCTGCAGTGCAAGGTATGTTCCCTTGATAATTCCTAAATCGTCCCAAAGTAGAGTTTAACTTTAAGCTCCTCTAACTGATATATTTTGCATTCTATTCGTAGATAGGTAGCATAAATGTTTTTAACTTACATCGGCTCTTCAAGAAGTGGTGGGACAAATGCCATAACTTCAAAATTAAGATGTAGAAGTTTTTTCTTGCTGTAGTTTGAAGGATAAGCTCTCTAATGAGACCAAAATCAACCCATTTGGTTGAAAAAAAAAAGTTATGAAGGTTCGAACAGCGAGCGTCGAGCTGCCAGCTACAACTGTCGACAAGATTTTTTTCTAACCAAAATTGGTCCCTAAAACTACTGTCTGATGCAATGTTATGCATAGAACAACTTGAAGACCCTGAAAACTACTTTGATGATATTTTACTGTAGTCATCACCGGACTAGGAGACCCAAGGATTCTAAGGGGACTAGTGCTGTCGTTAAATCACACCCTGAAAATCGAGAAAATCTGCCAAATAAGTACTTGGTGCTCGCGCATTTATCACTTACTAAGTGATTTTTTGATGTTTCTAGCAGTGTGTACAAATGTTGTGCCAAATTTTAAAGATTAAAAAATCTTAATCAGCCTTCTTTCCTCTTCCTTCAGCCTATACAATATGACAAGCATCACACAAAGTATTGCATGAAAACTATTCAGGAGTCATCTACAAGTGTGGGAGTAGAAACTGATCATGACATCCTAGCTTATTTCATTTTTGCTCACTCATCAATTGCTCAAATTTTCAATCTGAATTTTATTTTTCTTTCAGAAGAGACAAGCGACTCCTATGAATCACCGAACAAATCATGTCACAGTGAGTCCAACCACAGTGGAATTTCCGTAGGTACGAGACATAACATACCCAGTGTGTTCGGTCAACAAAACCTCAGTGATAGTGGTCTGAGAGCCTCTGTTTTAAAACGTTTTTGTAGCTCCAAGCTGGACGATGTTCAGACCTTTGATAGTCTAAAATTCTCAAACGGAGTCTTTGAATGTTCGTAGAGATTTGTGTTCAGAATTTTCAACTCTAAGATTTTTGGAGAAATGTTTGTTTAGAAAAGCGAAAATCTAAAAATTTTTGATCAATGAAACTCTCTTCTGCTTCTCTAAATATCATCTTGATCAGGTATAAACATCCTCTCAGATTTATTGAAAGTTGTCTACCTTTGAAAGATTTCTCAAGTTCTTCAGGAATTTTCAGTTGTCTTATGATTGTTCAACATGGAACATGAAAATTAACTGCCACTTTAGGTTCCAGTTTGGAAAAATATCTAAATTTTATCGTACTGTTGATTACTGGAGTTTTAAAAATTTGACTATAAATATTCTGCATATCGACGGTGAAACTACCAAACCACATATCTCGTTTGCGGTGTTTAAAAATCTACGCTCGCATTTTATTTTTTTGAAGTAGACCAAATCAATATCATTCCTTGAAATTTTCACAGAATTTTCTCCGCACGAAGAGGAAAAATCACAGAAATTTTCAAGACTGGACGTTAAGTAGTTTTTCATTTAAAAAATGAAGTATGACAGGAAGTCTGCGACGTCGCAAACCGAGATACGTGGTTTGGTAGTTTCACCGTCGATATTTAGTTCCTAACGTTTTTTAAATAATACTTTTTAATGTAGAGATGAAAACTAGTTTAAGCTGCAAAACATGAGATTTTAACTACCAACAAGTTTGTTTCCAAATTAGTAGATGTCAAAGAAGATCCAAAGACCTTATTTCCCTATTCAATAAAAGAGAAAAGATTAAACCACATATGTAATTAGTGTTTTGGTAGATCTTTAAACTTATTTTTGACATTTCTCTTCTTAGAATGGATTTGCTGCCTTTTATCTACATGATATTTTTGGTTTTTGTACTGTAAGTTGGGGGTGACATTCTGTGATAACAAATTGTGAATTAAACAGTGTAAGGGTTTTTGAAATAAAATTGTAATTTTTCCATTATTTTAACATTTGCATTGTGTATTTTTTTGTGTATTTGACTGACATTCTAGCATAACTCATAATCGTTCTTTCACTTTCATTTTTGTTGATGTGGTGTTGTTGGTAGCACTTTTACTCCATATTCTACTTTGAAAAGCATGAATCTCCGTTCGTTATACTAAAAAGCAAGGGATTAATTTCTTTTCTACATGATTTGTCCGAACTCACCAAAGAGCAAAAGGATACAGTCAGTCGTAGAACTTGATCTTGAGTTGCAATTTCTATGCGCGTAAAAAAATATTCCCTCGAGACATATAAATGAAAGCGCCTTGAAATAATGTTTTGGAAAAACTGCTCTTTGAAAAATTTGTATTTTTTTATATCGAGTGAGTTTAAAGTAATTATTTAATCAAATTTTTACTGTGCTCACTGCTTGTGCCTCTCACACCTTTGTATTTCATCCTCTCTAACCAGTTCCTTGTGATCGGAGAGCTTTAGTCACTAAGCTTCCAGAGTTGGTGACTAATACTGCAGTGGCATGGTTTGCTTTGTGATAAATTGATTGATCTGCCATTTAAACCCACAGAAGAGGATCGATAAACAGGATGTTTGCAATGAACACCTTAATAATCTATTCTTTACATAGCTTTAAATGGGAAAATATCGATAATCAATCATTCACGCCTCGCCACTGTAATACTGAAATACTTAAAGAAATATGCAACCGTGTTAAAAAAGGAAAGTCAGTGAATAATGGAGAAAGTTTAACACGTAATGATGGCTTCAAAACTGAATGTAGCTAAAATCCTTATTGTCGCTCTATAACTGACTCAAATTCACGACCAAATCAAGTAAAACCCGCAGAGCTGCAATTCTTTTCACTTCAGTTATCCAGATCTCCATGGTTGATAGACCCAGGTCAGTCCATCAGAGAAGTTAAGTGTGATCATCTTTGCTAAATGGCGGCAGGGCTGTCCACTGTCCATGTTGCCCAAAGATTTTCCCGATTTCTTTTTCCGCTCTGCTGTTTGGGGGGNNNNGGGGGGGGATGCAACAGAGCAGCCCACATCTGGGAAACGTTTGGAGTGTAGTAAAGTAGCAAATCGGAGGAATTTGCCAGATAAGGAAATTTCAAAGAACATCTTGTTAACGAACTGATCTGGGGCTATCAACCTTGCAGAACTCCACCCACCTAAATGTCATACCCTAGATTATTTCCACAATAGAGAAAGAGAATGGGACTGTGAAATTGAGAAATATTAATCTAGCAACTGAAAGGAGTAACAGTGAAATATGACAACAGTAAATGGTTTCTTTCCTCTTTTCCTCCTTTCAACACTTCAATTTAAGTTCCTTTCTTCATACACGATATGTAGAGAGCTTTTTTGCAATTTCATTTCCTGATAATATGGATGTTTCTGCATGGATATAAAGTTTTATAAAAATTGATCTTGGTTGAAAAGTAGAATTCTAGTGCAAGCTCTGCATGGACCGAGTTTAACAGAGTTTAACAAAGATACACCAATTTACATTTTTGAGAAAAGTAAGTTCATCTAGAATTCATCCAGCCGTAAATCTTTTCCAGTCATTAATTCAAAATCGAAACAAAATATTTAAACTTGAAAACAGTCATTAAACTTCGTCCATAACATCAATCTTAAATAAAGATAACTAATAACTTAATCAAGGACTAAATGTCAAAAAATACACATTTTTCAGGGCGAACCATGAAAAATTAATATTTGAAAGTCAAAGAGAACAAAAGTGCATCAACTTGGCAACTTACTATGAACGCCCTATTCTCTGTCATTAAACAAGTCTAATCTATTTTAACTTTGTCCTTCACAATGTCTCCGAATGCTTGTCCTTTGGCACCTTAAAACTTTTTCTCAAAGTAACATCTTCGCCTGCTGCGCAGTTTTTGCGTCTCCTGAACTTTTTACTCTTACCGATTTGGTGTAGTTCCAATCTTACCGACTCATTTCACTTTGCCCCTCCCTCCTCTGTCACCGATAGTACAATCAATAAATAGCAAATTTGATACTTGCGGAGGCAGCACAATCCCTGACTTTCACACATGCCATTCACTGGTGAGCAGCCCAGTGCTGATAATTGAAAGTTTAGAGGGCAGGATAGTACCTACTGGAATTTTTTGGGTGCTTTCTTGATCTGGCCCAATTTTTCAACAAAATGAAATAACGTCGATGATTCATACGTGCATAGTTTTTTTTATACTGCAGAGTGAGGTAAGACAAAGTTGAAGAGCTAGATTTTGGTTTAAATTGTCAGAAAAGCAAAAAACTTTCTTGGTTTATCATTTCTTTTATTTTGCTCAACTTTCTAGAAACAACCATCACAAACAGATGAAATTTTGCAAATCCACGACTTGGATTACTTACTGCTACTCTTTAATATTCAGAAAACTTTACAACAATACTAAAAATAATCAATAAACTAGGTAAAAGTGAGACAAAAGACAAACAACACAACAAAAATTTGTCTATAGGTAAGTACATTTGTGGGGGGGGGGGGTGTCAGTTCAGTCCAGAAAAATTAGCATTTAAAGGCTGCAAGTAGCCGAGGTAAATTTCGATACCAGTATGCAATAATCTTGTTCAGTGTTTCAAGAGGAAAAGTTGCTCTTAGGTGTCACTGTTTTCACGAACAGGAGGAAAACCTTTTGAAGATTAGGACCGAATACTGTGCAGAAAGGTATGTAGTCTTTTTTAGGTAGGTAGGCACTTGGTCTTTCCTGAGAGCAAAACGGTTCTGCAAGTTCTTAAATGCACATTTCATTCCTTCTAAGAGAGCATTGCTTGTCTTTTTGAAAGCTCTTTATGATTTTTTGGATGCAGAGCAGTCGACTAAGAACTTGAGAAGGAACTGGGAGAACAAGCCAGGTAACTTGATAAAAGTTTAATGACGCTGGTGATTGAACTTTTAAAATTAAGGCTGCTTTCTGTTCTGAAATAAACTTTGGAAGAAAAAAAAACTAGATACTAATACAACAAAACTATACTTTCTAACAAGACCTTAGTGAAACAATACATCAAAGTAACTGATACAAGAAACGCAATAGAAAAATAAAGAATCTTGTTGTTTGTACCTAAATCACAAATATTATAAAATACAGTCTTATGAGTCAATTTAACCCCATAAAAAGCAACTCACACTGACTTAGAAGTTCCAATAATATATCGACGGCCAAAGTGCGAAACTACGTAACTCCGTTTGCGAAGTTGCAGACTTCCTGTCATTCCTTATTTTCTCTATGAAAAATATTTTGAAAACTTCCCTGATTTTTCTTCAATAGTAGCAGACTTCTGTACTATAACTCTACATAAACTTTAAGCTGTACAATTGGTGTGTTTCTCTTTAAAAAAATAAAATAGGCGTGGAAACTTTGAAACACTGCAATGGAGATACATGGTTTCGCACCTTGACAGTATTTTGATCTGTAGGTATTTCTAATACTGTGACTTTTTCGCCACTTATTTGAAAGAAAACCATCATCAAAGTATATTGAGTAAAAATAGTTTTTCTACAGTTTGTAAAATTTTTGATATGAACTTTTGAACAAGGTTTTTTTAAAGAAAGCATATATGCAAGAAAAATTACAAAAATGTCATTAAAAATATATAAAAATAAATCAATTGCATACAACTACTAGAGGACACAAAAATTTAATGAGCACTCCTTTTGAAAAAATACAAGGACAGTTTTGGATGACAATCCTTGTAGAATAGACACGGATTAATAAGAATCTAGAAAAAGGATGCTGTGCTTCTGAAATTAAAGTCATAATTCTCAAAGGAATGGTTAATCTAAGGACAAAGAATAAATACTTGCATATATATGGCCAGGACAAGTCATGGTTTGTATAAAGCTTTGGTGTAATCATATAAATTGTATAAAAATAAAAGGCCTAGTAGAACAATTACAAAGAAACATAAGCTTAAAGCGTCTGTAACTGACCATGTAGCTTCGATTAAAAAAACTTCATAGATATGTGTTATTAAGATATTTTAATTGAAGAAGTGATATATTGGGCCATATTTTTAAAGACAATGGTTATCAGTCTGCATTTAAATCTAATTTAAAGGACACTCCATTGGGAATTTATGAAAAACCAGGTGTTTAGATGCGTAAATGTAATGACTGTCTGGACGAATATATAGGGAAAACAGAGAGAAATATTAATATTAGATTCCACAAGCATTAAAAAACCAAACTTGAATGTAAATAAACATGTATCACACACAGATTCTAGACACAGTATTGATAATTTAGATCAAGATGTTACAATTTGTAAAAATTCAACTGATAGATTAATTATGAGTACTTACAAAAAGAAAGCGTTAAATGATGGGATAGATTTCATAAATGTGCTAAAGGGTTTAAAAAACCCAGGGAATGTATTATAGGACTAAATTTTGCAACTTGAAGTAATTATTTAAAATTGATTTTTGTGCAATCAATGTTTATCATTTCTCATCTGGCTTAACTTCTTGTCGTTTTTTGATATGGTAGACATTGGTAGTTTATTCAGCTTATTTTTAACCTTTAAGTCATTGTGCTGATTTGCTTTTAGTTGCACTTCTTGTTTGTTTAATTATTTGTAGTTTCTCTTGTTTAAGTATTCCTATGCCTCTGATTATGCCTTTGAGCGCCAAGAGGTCTACGGCATTTGTAAAAAAAAAAAAAAAAATGCAGCATAATGATAGGAAATTTTTATTTCTTTTAATTTTGTTGCTATGAGGTTAGGGGCTCAAAAAGTTACTATTAAAATTCATACATCAACAAAGGCTAAACAACTAGAGGAAAAGTAAGTTTTTCAACCTCATTTTCTGCTTTATTGAAGAAAATAAAGTATTACGGGGAATAAAGAGATGAAAATGAATGCAGAATTATCAAAATAACAGACATAATTCAGTGTGAGCTGGTATGGCAGAAAAGACGGTGATTCAAATATAGCTCCACATGTCTGTAAAAGCAGGATGAAATAATTTATTTTCCTTTAATATTCGAGGTTAAATTAAAATTTTTTAGTTGAAAAAAAAAAAAAAGAAATACAGTTATTCCCTTAACAACGGACTAAGTCAGAATAAAATTGAAATCATGGCTTATCGTAGAATTTTCCTTTTTCAAAAACATTATTTGTGTAAAATTTCCTTGAAAGAAATGCATTCAATCTGAGGACTGCTCGTAAAATGTGTTATAAATTAGTACTGCAAAAGACAACAAATCTGTAGAATATTCAACAGTTTTTCGAAGAAAGATAAATCCATGTGGACAAGAAGATTATTTCAACTCGGTTTTCACTTTAAAATACGGTACAAATAATAATTAAAGGTACAAAAAATGGGCTAATAGAAAAACTAGGAAACACTTAATTATCTACTGAATTTCATTTTTAAATACTGTACCTACAAATAATTATCAACGGTACGAGAAATGGGCTAATATAAAAACTAGAAAACATTTAATCATCACAGCCGAAGCAACCAGGACACAGAAATTCATTAAGCTTAAAATACAGTAGGTATTAAAAAAAGAAAAAACACATTAAAACGACAACAACACTTTTCTTCTAGGATTGAGCCTTCCTTTAAGAGGCTACCCAGCCAGCACCATTGAGAGGTTGAGAGTTCTGGAACGAAAAATGGAAAAAAATAGTTGGATGTATTGATTACCGGGTAAAGCTGTTCAAATGTTCTTTGGTAATTGTTTGAGTTTAGAGTGATACGTAACGATTTTACCTTTATTCAATGCTCAGTAAAATTTCAGAGAGCTTATTTTGTTGAAATTCAAACTCTCTTGCTTTAACTTTGCTGTAATTGGTTTTATGGGTTCTCTTTTCTGCATCCCTTACTTAGTTGCATTTCTTTATTTTTCCGTTACTTTAAGAATTGTTTATTTGTTTTTCTTCAGGCCAAGAAATTCTCTGTTCCCATTGAAGACGCAAAAAAGATGATAAATATCAAACCACCAGAGAGTTCTTTCGAAGAGCCCGATCAAAATTCAGATTATGAAGTGATTCGCTGTCTTATGGTTTAATTTATCTGTGCAGTGGTGTGAGATGGTCAACACTGACCATCTCAGATAAACCTCGTAGGTAAAACAGTTACGCATCACTCTAAACCTAAAGATTTACCAAAGAACATTTGATCAGCTTTAACCAGAATGAGCCAAAATAAAATTAGTATTGCCTAATTTCCTCTCATGTTTAATTTTTTTATGAGAATACTCAACAAAATATTGCCTTGAACCTTTCTGTAAATTTTCCTTAGATTATGCTGGTACACACACATTTTCAAGGTGGAACGTTGCTTAATTTTTCGTTGGAATAAAGAGTATGAGAGGAAATCAGGCAATATCTGATGTAGTTAAGTTCATTCCAGTTAAATCTGTTATTTTACCGCTTTAATCTAAATTGCAATCGAAAATTTCATTTTGTTCGAACTTTTCCAAGATCTGAATATTCTCTCACTTGTTGCAGCCTGTGTTACCCCTACCAGATGAAATCATTCCGACAACTGGTGAGGAAGATGAAGATGTCACTTACTGTCACAAGTCCAAATTAATCCGTTAAAGGGATGGAGAGTGGAGATAACGTGGAACAGGGGACTTTGCTAGGGACAATGCTACTACGGGCTGGAACTCAGCAGTTGGCATTAACTCCTTTGCACTATCACCTGCAGGACTCCCATTCGAGTTTTTAATTGATGCTGGAGAATCAAACAACTTTGAGCCTTGTCCATCAAAGCCTTTGAATGAGTCAGACTTCTTGGAGTTTAGTTCACAATTTTTTGAAAGCTTGGCAAACTCAAGCGAGAATCTGTCGCTCAGAGGCGAGCTTTCAAATGAGTTAAAAGACAAATTTGTTGGCTTTGTAGATGGGTCTACAGACTTTAGTAGAGTTTCTTTTAAAAGTGACTTTGGAGTATTGTCTGGTTTAGATAGGATTGGAGTTGCAGACTTCGTTGTGCCTGCTAATTCTGTAGAAGAATAGGCAGCAGATGCCGAAATTGATGGATTTGAATTAGCAGCTGAAGATGGTTTTGTTAAAAGATTAAACAGTGATTCTGAAACTTTTTGTGCACTTGCTGCAGTTAGAACACCATTTGCTGGTGCTAATTTGACTGGAGTGCTTTCTCCTTGGGGTGTTGCTACTCCATTAAAGAAAGATGCATCCGATGGTAGAGGCGATTTGATGCTACTTGGAGAGTTACTGGATGAAACGGTGCTTGATGAAGATAAAACTGACTTGGACAAAACAGATGGTGACATATCTTGACTCAGTGTTGAACCAATTACCTTCTGAGTGCTCGGCTTGAGAGGTGGCACTAATCCAGAGGTTCCTGTTGGCTGTGCAGTCTGTGAGGATTGAAACGGGACAGATGTTGCCGAGGTTGTCATAAAGCTTGGCTTGAAAGTTGATTGTGACTGACTCTGAGACACAGAAGGACCTAAGATTGATAGAGTGGTAGGACTGGAACTTAAAAGCGGCTGATTCTGAGAGGTTACAACAGATGTCAGAGCACTAGGCTTAAAAAGCGGCTGCTTAGAAGAAACTGGCTGTTCGTTGCAGCTTGAAGATGAATTGTTCGGTAGCACATGATTTCCAACAGGGAAAGTATTCGTCTTGACAATATGTCCAGTTTCAGGTGGCTGTTGACCACAGCTAGTAGAAGATAACTTGGGGGCAGGCATTGGAGACCCACTGATGGTGACAGAATCAGGCCTGGATATTTGAGGATTAGTTGATTCACCGCTGCTTTGAGTGTAAGAATTCGCGATAGAATAGGATGGAATTACACCAGAAGTTCCTGGCAGTAGGTGGGACAGGCTAGAATTTGGAAGTTGGGAAACATTCAAATTAGGCTGTGGAGGAACAAGAACTGGAGGCATCATGCCTGGTGGTATAAATGATGGCATTCCAGGGGGGAGAAAATGAGGCATCAATGGTGGTACTACCTGAGGGTAGAAGCTTGGTGCCTGCAAGAACTGGGGGAGTAACAAATTTGCTAACTGAGTCTGGAAAAGAGGGTTAGAATTAGAGCAAATATGCATCAAGGTTCTTTGCAACTTTTGATCAGTTTTTTTTGTGTTCTTCACAAGTAAGGTCACTTCCTGCTCTATTTTTTCAACTCTTTTGGACAGTTGTTCCAAAAAATTGAACATTTTTGTCTGCGAGGCGATCAAATCTTTGAGGTTAGGTGCTTTTGAATGAGCATCGGAGGAGCGTTGTGGCGTGAAGTTTCCAGATTTTGACCGGAAATCCAAATCATGTGAGGTTGAGTTGAAGGAGGATCTAGGCTGGTATAAGCTGGAGTCTAACTCAATGTTTGAATCGACTGTAGAGGGTAAGCTTTCTGTCTCATCTTCATTCCCTGAAACAGAAAAAAAGGGAAATTAAAATAAAAATTACAACAATAAGAAAACTCTGAAAAGATAAGACGTTCAACATTTCTATTTGACACTAATAATAATTCGTGAAATAGCTCAATATCACTGGTTTAATAATTAAAGATGTTAACTGATTTGCTGAGCTACTAATGTAAAAAAGAGCTACAAAACCAAGTTGCTGCTTCTGGACTTCGCAAAGTAGTGAGAAACACACCAAGATTTGGCAAATAGCAGTGGAGTCTACCAAGTGCCTACCCAAAAATTATAGTTATCTGGGCTCATATGTAGTAATAAGCAGCAGTTGAGCATGCAAATACCAAGTTCTATTCTCTTCTTAACATTTTAGGGCAGAAATTAGTGTAGGCCACACTAAAATGAATATGCGTATACACATTTTACGAAAAACAAGTGCATCACTTCTTTGTAAAATTTATACCTTTAAAAAATAAAAATACACAGTTTAGTAAAATAAAGGATACTAGTTAGTCATTTGTACTAATAAATTTGAAGGGGAAAAAAACAGGAACTTACTGGAATCTCGATCATAGCGCACCAATCGGCCTTCTATTTCCTCCAGAAGTGAACCAAGTTCAGAGCGCAATGGATGATTGATTTGATCTCCCAATCGCTCTTCTGCCTTACAAAGTGCCTCCTTTGCTTTCATGAGCCATGTATTATGCTTGGCATGCATCTCAGCTGTAATTTCATCACACTCTTGATTACGGATCTCGTTCAGTGCAAGTCGTTTATAGATCAGGGCCTCATGTAATGCGGCCTCTGCGCTGCTTAATGACTTGAACCCTTCTAATGCTTCCTGGTAATTTTCACTGCGCATTTTCTTGTACGCCACAAAGAATCGTCCTTCTTCCAAGAACACAGGGATCTCATTTCTTTTCACAGGCGAGAACTTGTGCGGAAAAAATGCATTGGCACTTTGGTAGACGTCTTGCACTTGAGCTAGTTCTAACTTTCGAATGATATTACTCCAAAACAAGAAAGCACGCTTCTCAACGGCTGAGGTGTACAGTGCATCTTGCTGCTTTGCGGCACTGCGTGCTTGCGCTTCAAATGTTCGTGCAACAAGGATTAACAATCTCAAATCCAGCCCATGCTGCCCGATTAATCGCACTGTCTCTACACCTTTAATAAGTATAGATTTTGAATCGATGGAATCGCCAAGCTCACCTTTCCGACTCTTCTGAACTGCTGCCCAAAACTGAAGCTGTTTGTCTGTTGCTAGAGATGGTATGACATCCGAAAGAAGACTTTCATGCCATGCAGCTTTGGATTCAACTAATGAAAGATACGATGAGAAGACCGACAAATAAAGAAAACTGTCAGCATCAAGCTTGCTCAAAGATTCCACGGAGACAAGATTGAGATTTTGAGATGAAAGGGGCAGAGATGGAAAATTCTGGCACTTGAAAATTTTTGGCAAAACTAAATTACCAGGTGACACATTTAGAAACAGAGTTTGAACCCCCAGCCACACAAGGTCATGATAGGAGTGTGCGCTACGCCTTTCATAAGCAAACAGGTTTGATTCTGTTACAACTTCAGAGAGACTCAGTAGCCGTTGCGGTAGTTTCTCAAAAACACTAGACCGGAGCCAGCAAGATGATAGCCCAGCTTCTCCCTGTGGGAAAATTTTTGAAAATATCCGGCTTCGGGTCTCATTGGAATATCCATTGCTGATGCTGGTAATTATTTTGTCTTCTGCTGCACCCTTGAACCAATTTCTGAGAGTTAAGTTCGCTTGAATCAGGCGAAAGGTAGCATCATCTACAATGTATCTCATTTTGGCTCGATATTTTGAGTCAAGAGAGGATAGATGAGGTGATTCTAAGTCAAAAGGTGAGGCCTGAGCTAGTAATAGGCTTGGGGCCACAAGTTCCTTGGCGTCTTTTTCTGATGCTTCTTCCTGCAACACAGGGTTTATATTAAAAACATTCTTGAGAAGTCCTGATTATTTATAACCATCCATGGGAAAAAAGACAAAATGCCAAAACAATTGAAATGAGTACCTATGATTGAAAAGATATGTATTTTTTTTTTCTTTCTTTCTTTCTTTCGAATTTTCAAACCTGACATCAATTTTGACACTTTCATTGTCGCAGCTCAAAAAATAAGTTGTGAAAAAAAGCTGCGAATCTAAAGTTTCAACTTTTTCCTCTACTAGCCCAAGAATCATTCCTTACATATTCTTTGAAGAGTGTCTACAAACATAGAGGAAAAAAGTCAGTCATAAGCGTTTTCGCTGGTTTCTATGTTTTAATGAGATTTGGATTTCAACACTCACAAACAGGAAATTCTCACCTTTATTTTACTTTTGAGTACGAACATGTTGTGTTTAGAATTTCAGTGACTTTTTCCATTAGCATCAAAAATTCTGGTACATTTGCTTTCAAAAAGTTGAGGAACATATGAAGTACTTATTTTGAAAAAGTGCCTACCTACCCAGAAATATAAAATATTTCAGGAGACAAGAACAACTACGCAAGGAGGCCAACAAAGAATTACCTCTCCATCAATGATGACTCAATTTTGAAAAAATCTGACTGGGCGCCTTTCCAAAAAAAAGGCTTCACAGGTAATCCCTTCAATGGGCCTGTTGCAAACTTTTGCTAGAGCAAAAATAAGAGTTGTTTCCTATAGATAATGTCTCAAAAATCACGATGAGCGCATCGGCAAAGTCTGAAATGCACTCATAACTTCACAATCTGCGTAAGAAATTTGCGTTTTTCTGAGCTTCCCGCTTCAAAAACGATACTACGGCACAGGTGAACATTTTGTTAGAAGAGTCGCTCCATCGTCGGCAATATTCATCATGGCCGACGCTTGCGCAGTTCCGCGCGTAATTCGAGGAGAGTTCAAGGTCAATCAAGGCGGGTGAGGAAAATATGAACGTAAACACGCCGATTGTTATCTGGTCTAATCCTGTTCAGGTGTTAGCTCGTCCCATCACAGGTGTTTTGGCGGATTGTCGTCGGCCATGATGAGTGTTGCCGACAATGGAACGACTCCTCTAACAAAATGTTCACCTGTGCCGTAGTATCGTTTGTGAAGCAGGAAGCTCAGAAAACCGCAAATTTCTTACGCAGATTGTGAAGTTATGGGTGCATTTCAGACTTTGCCGATGCGCTCATCGTGATTTTTGAGGCATTATCTATAAGAAACAACTCTTATTTTTGCTCTAGCAAAAGTTTGCAACAGGCCCATTGGGTGAGAGGTCAAGTATTCAGTAAAAGGAGGTTTTACTTATGTGTGAATACATAAACAAAAGTTCAAGATACTTACTTTTATGAGCTTTTTTAAAGTTAGCACAGCTATATGAAAGGACAACTGCGCCTGATAATGCCTTTGGATGTCTTTATCAACTGGACCTCTCAAACTGGACACTGAGCAGAGTTTTGACAACAACTGATCAAAAGACTGCAAGACAGATAAAGCTTCATCAAGCAATCCATCATTTTTGAAACGGTGCAAGATGGACAGATGATTATCACTTGCTGCAACAGCCTCTAGCAAAAAATCTCCTGTATTCACCTGATCCGATGAGATGTCTTGAAGACAAAGCTGAAATATAAGCCCAAAACAATAAAAGAAAAACACTCAAATAGACAAATTAAATCTAGTTTGATTCGTCTTCCCTTGCTGCAAGAAAAAATTAATACTGTGTCTCTCTTTCTTTTAAAGTCACAAGAATTTGTCTTCCGCCTTATTCATGAAGGTTGCCAAAGGACGCAGGGGAAGATGGGGTTACCTGGATTGCGGGGTTCCCCAAACCTCTTGTGGGAATTCTATTAGAAATCTTTCAGATATCATTTGTGAGCAAACTAGATGCCTTCCCTTGACTTATTTTAATGCATTTGTGTTTTCATTGCCTACCTATTTCGTGTTTGCCTCACAATATTTGGGAACCCAACTCAAATTGGGTCTGACTGAACCATCCATGAAAGAACAAACCTAAGGTCGGTAAAGAAATTTTCCACAAAAAAATGAATTAAGGTAAGTTAAGTTAGTTTGGGAAAAAAAAACAGTGCATGAAACAGCATTTAGGTTCATGTGGACCAGGAAAATGACGATAAAAAAAAATACTGGTTCACATAGCCCCATTAAAAGTAAATATGCTTGAAACTAAATGGGTGTTTAAATTCAAATCTGGTGATTGAAACCCAATTTCATAGATAAGATAATTTATGTAAAGCTTCTTTTTATAAAGTTTGAATGATTTCTTCAAGAAGAATCAACTAAATTTCCGACAGTCCTAAGGGTGGTTTAGACAGCCCTGAGATTAGGTTTTCCGAAAAATCGAACTTTTTACAGAAAGAAAATTCTACAGCCAAAAGAGATGCTGCTGCCTCTGTTGCGGGTAGTTAAATGTAGCTGAGGATACTCTTCACTGAAGAAAATAACTAAAGTTGATATTGTATGATTCTGTAGCTTGCAGCTGGCTCAAGAAAAGTGGTTCACCGAGACCCACCTTCTCCTCGTAGGCAAGAAGTTAGCAGTGTTCTTTGGATAACAGCCTATATGTTCAGGATTATTGTAAGACCCATGAATTAACCGACGGGGGTCCTTTGTGTTATTTGGAGAGGAAAGTCTTGGTGCATTCTATTTTTTTCTGGTGTCACAGGATGACTGTTCGGTACCCTCTCATTTAGTAACTAAGCAACCACTTCTTAACACACTGACACAGGGTTTAGGGAGACACTTCAGTTTTTCATTTATTTTAAAAAAAATATGGCTGAAACAATGGTGCAGAAGATTCCTTTTTTATGACCCAAAGAATTCCATTTTTTTCCCCGGATATATTTTTGAGCCTCCCTTCCCCACGTTTTATTTCACATCCTACCTTCATAGGAGATGAGAACTATTCAATCAGTCTTACATACCTTATAGACTTTTCTAAGACACCTGTGCCATTCCAAACTTTGATGAAGGGCTGGATTTCCTTGGTACTCAATTATTTTCTTGTGAGCTGCAGCGAATTGTTTGGAGCTCACGTATAAATTCAGTAAGTTAATGAGGAGAATCTCATCATTTGGATTGGATCTTAATTCCGCTGGAAAATAGTATAGAAAATTAATACTTTGAAATTTTACATAAGGAAATAGTTGAGCCTCACAAACTATCAAATCTATGCTCTTTTTATTCTTTATTTTTCGTACACTTCTCATAGTGGGCACAGTGATTTCAAGCCTGAGAAAATTAAAGAATATTGAAACTGAGAGGAATATTGAACTGAGATGGGCTTCAATCATTTTTCTTAAATTGTTAAAGAAATGGAAATTATGTTATTGAGACAAGACAAAAGTCTTCACATGACAGCTTTTCATCAGATTCTTATGTACGCTATTACTCTGAATTATAATGGAGGGCAACTTAGAATTTCTTCTCTTATCTCTAAAGAAGGGGTAGGTGCAAGAAGGCCTTCAGCCTGAAAAGTGCATATTAAGATTGGAGCTCCTAAAGTTTTGATTTGATTTTTTGTTCTCGTAAACAATGGCCATAATTAGATCACAAAATACAGAAATTGCAGCTGTCATTAAGTTTAAATTTCAACAATTAAAACTTGCTACTTTCAGAAAAGTTTCTTGAAATTGAAGGAACAAAAAGCCGAGTTAAAGGTTTCTTTGCATAGAGGGACACTTTCAAACTGAGAGCGCCCATTTCAAAACATAATTTAAAAAATCATGACTATCATCATGACTAAATCATTGAAAGACTGTCCAACACTAGTCTACAAATTGAAATTGACAAGGGAAGTAAATTTTTAAAAAAGAATCACTACCTCCCGATGAGTAAGGAAATGTCAAATGGGTACCATTAAGTAGCAGTCTGCTACAAAGGGTAATCTGGCTGAGTCCCAAAAATCACCCATTTTGCTCTATTAAATCAATGTACCTTGCTGAATTGTTAACAAAAACAGAACGATAACATTTTTAACTCATTTTCTTCAGGGTGTGAGGAATTAGTAAAGTTGCTACCTATAAGAAGACAGAGCCAGAAGGGTTTCCTTGCAATTTCCTCCACAAATAATATAATAATACTGAAGTTTTTTTTGGCGGTCAATTCACTAACTTTCCTTTGAACCTAACTCTCATCTATGTACCAAAATTATTACGTTTACAGTTTAGTATGACACAATTGCTGATTGAGATACCACCGCAATTCTTCTGATTTAATCACTCATAAATTCTTGGAATTCTAACTTACGCTTTACCTCAAATACAGAGTGCAAAAATAAATAAATAAATAAATAAATAGATAAATAAATAAATAAAACTCAAACATACACAGGTAGAAGTTTTCTACAGCTTTGGGATCCTTATTTTCAGCAATAACAATTTTTTGTCTGAGATTGGTGATAACTGCATTGTTGGGAAATAATTCACTGCCCTTCTCATACCAGTGACGAGCCGAGTTGATGCCAACATCTGCTAAATTCATACTGCTGATCAACTCACAGACTGAAATTACAAATAAAAAATTAGCATGAGACAGAAAAAATACACTAGTTGTTATTTTTCTAAGAGAAAGAAAAAAATCTTCCAGTTAATTCTTTTGTAAAATTATATTGTTCAAGCATCAAGAGATCATATCTTTCAGGTGAATTTTAAGATAGCAAAGATTCATGGCATTATCTTGCAAAAACTGCACTGAAAAGTACAATAAGTTTGGCAAAATCACGTAAGTTGCACTGCCCACGCAGAGGAACATGAGAATTAATGAGAGCATTAGCACAAACCTTCTTCAGCAGCGACATAAACCCTAATGACAAGTTGAGCGTAGTTGAAAGTCCTCAGTATGCATAGAACACCAGTTGTAGTGATAGATCGGTATGCATCACCATTACAGCTGGTGTGCTCAGAGTAGCTAAAACTTGACTGATCAAAGTAAGCTACAATGACTGACAGACGACTGGCCAAGCAGAAATAGCTGAAGTTCTGCTATTGAAGTAAGGCACTTAGCCCTCGTGAAAGTTGAAAAAGCTTCCTCAATGAATTGTAACCAAAATGAATGGCTTGACCAGAAAGTAAGCACAAAAAGACTTTTGCGAATACATCTTGTAATATATCTCAATTCATCACAACAGCTTTCCGCTTTCTTACATATTCTTGGGGAAGCAATCCTATGATTGATTAACCAATCTGAAAATAGATGGGAAATAAAATTTATTCTCTTCAAGAATCCATACTTACTGAGTAATACAAGTGCTGGTTGAGGTGGTTCTAGTTCTAATGAACGTTTGTAAGACACAATTGCTTTTTCTGGTTTTCCCAACTGTTGAAAACATTTGCCAATCAACTTGTAAGTCTCAGGTGAGTTCTCATTGACAGATAGGAAAGCTTGGAAGTGGCGAACAGCAATATCATAGGCCTTGACTGACAGATATAGTTTTCCAATGACAAGAGATTTCAATTTTTTCTACAAAAGAAAAGAAAAGCACATTGTTAAAAATCCTGTAAGTAGCAACAGCAGAATAATTGAATGGATTTGACGATTGAAATGTATTCCCAGAATTATAAATCATGATCTAGTCTGAAAATTGTTACCTCACCTCCTGGGAATTATTGAATGACTGCTTACCTATATATTTTCTAATATGCACTAAATTTCTAGAAGGCTGAATCATCCAGAAATGACTGACTGCATCAAAGCAACAACTGCAAAAGCATTTTGAACAAGTTGCAGTGAATGAAGATCGTACCTTGATTGAGTTCTGACTTACCTGATAAGTACCATACCAAACTCACACCGAAGTTAATTCTTTAGTCTTCTAGACTTATGTCGAAATTTTTAACTAATAGGCTGGATAAGACAGTGATAACTTCAGTGGATTTTCAGGGCTGTTTCATTAAAACCACACATTAAGAGTGTAACAACACACTAAAATAGATTTGCACAGGTGGACATTTAATTGGCCGTGGGTGTAGAGTATTGTCAACCCCAAAAAGTTCGCCAACTTTTTAATCGAGGCAGAAGATTGGCCGCCTTGATACTTGGATTGACTTTTTAAGACAATAGACTTCTATTAGACATAAGCACACTTAAAATAGGTCCAATCTACTAAGTACGTAGGCGTGGGCTGGCAACAAGTTTCTGCAAGAGCGTTAGATTCAGTTTTAGAATACCTGCTGCTGATTTCAAAAGGTTAAATGAAATTCTTCTAGTTTTGGTGCGGCTATGTTTAACTTTTCAAATTGGCGGCAATGACCATCACATCTGCAGTGTTCAACACACCATAAGAGGTGGGTTCAAAAAAATGGATTAGGGCAAACATTTAGAGTGAGTCATCCGACTTTCAAAAGCAACCCCTGATTATTTCTACCAAGGGTTAGATAATGCTTATTAGTTTTGGAGACTGAACTAAATCCGTGCGCAATTAGAGACATGCGATGACTGACAATGAATGATGTACATTTGTCAAGCGGCGATTATTGACAGGATAAATCCTCTATGCAGTGAGATCGTTTGTTACTTTTTGTTGGATTGGACTTATATACTTGCGATAAATTAAAATAAAAGACTTTACTACTGAATCATTTCACAGTAGATTTGTAACAGAGATGTTAAGTTAAAGAATACCTCCTGCAAAGGTAAGATAAATATGTTACTTACATCGTGATCTGAAAGGCATTTACGAAAAACATCTTCTGCATATCGATCCACATCGACTTTCGTTTTAGGAGACATATTTTTGCACTAAAATTCTGACATTTGAACAAAAAAAAATTAACAATAGGTAAAACCGAAAACAGAAAAATTTCGAAAATTTGCAAAATTTAGAACTAAATCGGAGAAATTGGAATTGAGGTTAGACAGTCCACATGGTTGCAAAACGTCACACACACCAAAAAAACACCATTCACCACTGCCTTGAGTTGGCGCGTTTCCTATACCGCGAAATATGATTTTGCGCCCCGGAGCTACTGTTGCGATTTCCTTATTAACTTAGGAATGGCTGAACGTTTTTTTTGGGGAGGTCTGTGATTATTATTTCCCATAGGAGAGCATCCAGAATTAACATTTCTGCTACATCTACCTCCGGCTTTTCCCCCAAGTCCGGTTTTCACTTTCTATTTCCGATCTTCACTTTGGACTTCCAACTTCAGGAATTAGCGATTTGACTGTTGCTCCTTGAGTAAAAGTTTGCGAGAAGCCCGATTGTGCCACTGATTTTCTCTGAAATTATCTCCCAAGCTCAAAAAAAGCTCTCAAGTTGAAGCCAATATGGAGGGGATATCCCATTACGCTATCCTGAGAGTCCACCCGTCCACCTCTACGTCAAGACTAACTCTCCATGCAAAGATTGGGAGCAAATACATTAGCAGGGTTGCAGTGTTTTCAGTTTTAGAGCCTCCAAATAAAGTGGCAGCCCTGTTAATGTGTTTGCTCCCTATCATTGCATGGAGACTTTGTTTTGATGAAGAGGTGGACTCTCAGAATAGCGTGGGATAACCCCTCCATTTTGGCCTCAACTGGAAAGATTTTTTTGAGCTTGGGAATTAATTTCAGAGAAAACTAGTGGCTACATCGTGTTTCTCGTGAACTTTTACATAAGAATCAATAGTCAAATCGCAAATTCCTCACACATGCAACATCTTCATTGTGGGCAAGTTCATAGCACGCTGCAGCAAGGCGTGCTGCCAGTTCGAAACGCGCACTGACGCCTACAAACCTAAAGGGATACTTCAAGCAGTGCGCAATGCGTGTGCAGCAATGCGCAAATTCCTCACACATGCAAACATCTCCATTCCAGTTTTCACTCTCCACTTCCGATTTTTACAATCCACTTCGGGTTTACTTCTTATTTCCTGTTTTTACTTCCCTTTCCTGGGTTTCACTAGAGTACCTTCATAGACAGTTTTCACTTACCACTTCCGGTTTTCTCCTTCAACTTCCGGTTCCCTTACCCCATTTCCAGTTTTCGCTTCCTTTTCCCGGTTTACTTTCTCCTCCGGGTTTTCACTTCCTATTTCTGGTTTTTCTTCCTGTTTCTGGTTTTCACCTCCTACTTCCGGGTTTCACTCCTCGTCCCTGGTTTTTACTTTCCTTATCCGGTTTTCGATTTTCTTTTAAGAGTTTCATTATTCCTTATTTCTGGTTTTCCTATTTCTGATTCGCCTGTTTAAACAGTCCAATTGAATTTACATGTTACTGCTGTGCCCATCCAAAATTCCCATGGTTTGCCCACCTCCCTCCCATGTAGATCCTCTACCTCCCTTTTCTCTCCTCTGGCATCGGAGGTCCCTTTTTTCTCCGCTTGGAAGTCACTATCTTAAAACTGCAGCCTCCATAATATAACCATTCCCCTAAATCCAATCCCGTTTCAAAACCCCGCGGAAAAAAATTCGAGAATCACATACGTGTTTGAAGTTGCGAAATCACATAGATCCTTTATGGCGGAAAGAGAGTTCAAACTGACTTATTGATGCTTAAAAATGGACGTTTGGGATCGAATTTTTCACAGAATATGAAGTAAGACTAGGTAGTTTAACTGAAATAATCAATATATCACTTTTTTCAAAAACTGCACTCATCTTGCGTCATGTCCTCCAAGCCCCTCAATGTAGAAGAAACTCTTTAAGTGCTTCCTAAAAAAATACGACGGGATGCTTGAGTGCCGAGACATATTATTTTTATTCTCTCGGCATAATAGTGCTTAAGTAATCGTTGTCGTTCAATCAGTGGTATTCCATCACGCTCAGTACATTGTAGACACCTACAATTAGCGACTAATTCTGTGATAAATGAGATTGTGCCAGATACCTACGAGAAAATGAGCCGTTCCACGAGACGCCTGGCGAGACCGAAATACGCGCACTAGAAATATTCCATCTCTTTTATGATGCTCCACTCCTCTTTCATTCTAGTTGACATATTAAAACCTTGCAGAATATTTTTCATGACACTGATTTATATAAATCAGTAGAAGTTTAAATCATTTTTTTTTTTTTTTTTTTTTTTTTTTTTTTTTTTTTTTATGAAAAATTGCTGTGATTATTTCATTAAAACGAGTTAATTGCCAAGCTCTTGCACACCGATACCATTACTCTCTCAGAAGCGTGCCTTCTCTTCTTAGTGCCGAGTATGAACGTTCCGACGTCTTTTAGTTCCAGTTTAGTTCTTTCAGTTGGTGTTTCCCTTCGTCGTCTATTTTCAAATAAGTACCTACAACCATGCAGGAAATACAGGATATTGGTGAGTTTATGTTTGTATACCATTCCTAAATTTTCATGGATTCGGTTATTTCTTACATTCTGTTTTACGATTTAAAAGTGACGGCGAAATACTATTTATGCTGGAGCAGCTATTCGCAGATTCATAATCATACTGCCGTGCTCAGAAAAAACGCCTTATGAGCCTTCAGGCGTCGCCAAATTTCCTTTGAAGAACCACTAACTTTCAAGAAAATTTGTGAATATTTTTCTTCCAATTTCTGCGGTAATTCTGCTTGCAATTTGATTTAAAAAGTCTGAAAATTTCAAGGAAAAATATCGGCAATTTTCCTCTAAAATTAACATTTTACTTATCGGTGAAAATTTGGCAACTCTCGAATGGTCATATGGCGTTCTTTCTTAGCATGGTAGCATACAAGTAGGGCCTCAATCATAAAAATATTGCTCAAAAGGAAAATTGTCGAGATTTTAAAACATCTCATTTGCAGTTCGAATCAATTTCGTCATGAATAGGTAATTACCAAACATAAGCGTCCCTTACTTCTGTCTTCCTCCGCTCCTTCAATCCTTCCTCCTTTCTTTCTTCCCTTTTTGTTCCTTCTTTTTCGGACAAGCGAGGGGAGGGGCGCGCGCCTTCTCGACTAATCCTGGATCCGTCTATGGCGCACAGTGGATCGAGTCAATTAGAGAGGTCGGACATGAAATTTTCTACCAAATCTGCAAATTTTGATGTTGATTTCGTCAAATTTTAAATTTCAAGGGGTGCTTTCAGAAGATAACTTTACGAGAGAACCGATGAAACCACTTTCAGAACATCAAAGTTTTGTATAAACAGAGTCAATATAAGCTTTTAAAGTTTTTAAATTTTGTCCGACCTCTCCTATTGACTCGATCCACTGTGTGGCGCAACACTCTTTGAATTCAAATGGAGGTACTCTTGTTTCAGAGTGCACGGGACTCATCCATCTTTTTATAACTCTCCGTGCTGCCCACAATGAATGAATTGCCTGGAGTGTAGCGCACCTCTTGACCTCTTAGGGCCTCGTCATGGCATTCAATATACATCAAGTATTTCTTGCTGGGGCTATCATATTGGCAACGATGCCTACATCACAATTACTGGCTCAAACGGAGACTAAGATGTGTGTCAAAAGAGGTAATCAACGGGGTTGGGTATCACGAGTTATTTCGGAGCACATTTGGGACTTCAGAGTGATTTCGGACGCAAATCCCACCTGCACAAAGCATTATGAAGTATATCGCCAGCATCTGGATAATTTTGCAACGTGGTCTATTCAAAGTAAGTAATGCAACATGATCATTTGCTCCTATTCGTATAGCTGTTCAGAAATTTTACGAGTCAATTAGTTGCGCGTCAAAAAATAGTAGCGCAAGTTTAACTATAATGGCTATAACTCTCAAGAATATGAGTAAGTTAACAAAAACGATACCTATCACAAATGCTTAGATTCTGGATTTCACTAACATTTTTAGGATTCTTTCGATGAGTAAGTGTTTTCAGAAATTATTTCATCTCATCCCTAGTCAATTAATTATGCTTCAAACGGGTTTGAATTCATTTTTATATTTTTAATTATTTTATTTAAAATTAACGAATTTGGACACTTTAAAATCTGTCGTGATTTTTCCGAGATATGACGAAAAATATTATTTTAATGTTTCATACGGATTCTAGGATACTGCAAAGGAGCAATTTTAAGCTACTTCCGCCATCTTGGATTTTTGAATTTTGATAATTTGACTGAAAATTCGATTTTAACGATAATTTTAAATAAACCCTTAAAACCAAGTTTCCCAAAAATCGATCGAACAGGATAGTATTTTAGGCCACATCCACCGACTTGGAATTTCGAATTTTGAAATGTAGAGTTCAAATTCAAGTTCCCCGTCAAAAAGTGCAAACTTATATTTCACAAAAATCGAGCGAACCAGAGCCGCATGCCGCAGGATCACTAAGACTCTACGGAGTGGTGAACGGTACCAGTCGATTTACACACGTTAGTGCGCCTTCAATTACGTTTGATACCGTGCAATACCTCTGTGGTGGAATAGTTGCTCACAGCGCCTTCTGCCCTGTCGCATCGATTTGATGGCAGAAGATTACGATTCCCGCTGATAGCTGATATATGTATACCCTAGCGCGTGCGCAGTTACACATCCTCTAATCACTAACGGTAAATTAAAAACATTCATGCATACACCTATTTACGACGCCGCAACTTTTTTACTGCCTATTTTGTACGGGTGAACTTGCTTGGACGGGGATGGCTTACAAAGTCCCGGGACGGAATAACGTTTCATAGGTATTTAATCTTCGTATTTCAATCTTGTTTTCAGCGCTCTTGTAAGTGTTGTAATTCTCATGTTAATTGGACGCATTGACCCATAGCTGCCTAAGAATTTTCTTTACGCTGAGTCCGATGTCGGGTCAAATTGACAGGTTTTCAATACACTGATTTTGTTAGTTTTTGAAGTATTATCTATGTCTTACTTTTAAAATTAAACAATACTTTTTTTTAAAATTAACACAAAAAAAATTCAACTTTTTGGTAATATACTGACGATTTCTCACCCCTGCTCCTCATCCACCAAATGAAACTCCCCCAGCAGCAGAGATAGTTGGATCAATTTGACCTAACTTGGGATTTCTATAGGGAAAGTCAAAAAAAAAAAAAATCCCTGACACGACACAACTCCTGCCAAAATTCCAATTTTTGGACGTTGGCCCTGGAGGGCGCTGAAAAAACCTTTAAACATGCCTTTGCTTTTTTTAATTATTTATTTTTTTCTTATTTTTTTGAAAAAAAGGTTACTGATTTGGACACATCATGGCTTATTTTGAGCAAACTTAACCTTAACTTTTCTCAAACTTCAAAAATAAAAGACGTATCAACGCGGGTTGACGACACGTAGAGATACACATATTTGCGCTTGATGGACTTCCAAGGTGTACAAGCAAAGGTGAAGGCGCGATGGCACGAAGCGTGAACTCGCAATGCTCCGGTCGATGCTGCTGGTGCAGTGTCGTTCGAATTCAGGAGTAAAATTAAAAAACGATATTGGGTTACGTCTATCCTATATTCGGCTGTGTTGCTCATGTAACCCTTGAAGCGCCACGATATACATTAGAATTAGACAATGGTACCAACACAACATGAAAATAGAGCAAGAAAAAGGATGCGCGTTGATGACGGCGCAGAGGTACAACTATTCGTGCTTGGTGGATGTCCACGTTGCAGCTACAAAATTGAAGGCGCGAGACGTGCGAACTCTCAATGCTCCGCTTTATGCTGGCAATGAGGTGTTGCTCTGGCTCGGTAGGGAAGTTAAAATTCCGGCGCATAGAGCATTCACGGTATATTTGCGCAAATAATGTAAAATATATTTTATTTAAAATGCGCTCAATTGTGGTTCAGCGCTGTCCATTTCGTCAGGCAACTCGTGTCTTGGTATTAGTCACAAGTCTAAACACAGTTTCTTTAAGGATGCAAGAAATTTATTTTGAAGCAATAATATTAATAATGTGTTATCTCCGCCCTGATACATTTTCAGTGTTGGATGCATCGGAGTTGGTGCCGAGTGGGATTTTGGCCGGGGACACGCACAAGCTAGGAAACTTCGAGGAATGCCTTAAAACACGAGTTCCACCAGAACTAGGGTTCTCAGCTCAATATTGTCTACCGGTTTTCAATTACATTCCTTCTAATTTTAGCACTGGAGCATTTGCCTCTCAAGATGAATGGGCAAAGCCCGTATGGAGCCGAATCATGGTTAGTATTCCAATGACACCCAAAGTGAGTAGACCTAAATGCGCATTCCAATGTTGCCCTAGTTCAAATTTCCATTCATATTTCATCAAAACGGTATAAGCCCCGTACCTTGTCCCCCCAAAAATTGCCGTTAACTTTTATCGAAAAAAGGTAAGGAAAATTTCTTAAAATCGCACATATTACTCTCTTCTAAACTGCAACTGCTCAAATGAACGCATTTGGTGTTCCAAAAATCTTCTTACCTACAATCCCCAACGTGAATAAAATATAAGCCAGCTAGCATTTATTAAGAAGTAATCTAAGTAATCCATCAAAATTTATTTTGCAGATCAACGATCGGACCAAAGCGCCAAGAGATCGTTTCAGTCTAGCATTTTGCATTCCTAGTTCATGTTCCCACGTGGACTTACAAACTTCTCTTCAGAGCTTTTTCAACGACCCGATGAGGCAGAAATCTTATGATTTTAAAGTAAACGTGCACAGTCTTCAATGCACGACTTCAGACAGTCCTGCCCAGTCTACTGGTGGCTTAATATTCAAGTAAGTTCTTCGATGTATAATAATAAACTTAAAATAAATTCGAAGTAGATAAAAAGTGGATCGGACCAATGGAACAAATTCACGTACTCACCATTGGAACAAACATACGTGTGCAAACTCCGCAAACATTAAAAAAACTGTGTTTAAACTCCATTATACGAAATTGTATCCTAATTTATATTAGTCTAAGTAATATCATTCCTCAATGAATCTTAATAATTGAGAGGCTGGGTGCAGAGGAGGTACTTTTCGGTCGTGCAGTTTCAGAATCTCCACTGCTGAATTCTATTTTAGAGAGGAAACTATTGCGTATAATGTTTCTGGGGGTTTTCGTCTAGAAAATTGTAAAAACATAAAGAAAATATTCAATACGAAGAATATTCTATGAAAATATTCTAATTTTAATGAAATACACGCACTAACGAACTTGCAGTCCTTAAAATAGATAAATATTAGCAGAGATTTTGAAACCCTGCAACCGTGCCCTTCGTGCAACCATCGCTTTAAAAGCTTCGCGGAAAATTTATACTCCCCCCTTTCTAACTCGTATTTTGACTTTGTTAAGGAATATGAACTTACCCCCCCCCCCTCCCTCATACAATTTTGCGCCTTTTAAAGAAGACTAAAATTTTGATTCTGCTTCGGAAACTGAGAGAAAGAATTTTATGTGTAGGTCAGTCTATTGGTAGCGGGTAGGCCAATCCTGTACGGTTTTATTTGTCAATGCAATGACAGCATGTAAAATGAATGACATTAAATATTACTAAAAGAGTGAATAGTGCTCTGCCGGAGATTTCTAAATACATACAAGCGGTTTCTATTATTTGTCAACTTTTAACTGACAGAAAATGAAAGAAATATCACTTCTATCAGTAGTTCATTTTCCTGAAGTCTAACTTCTGAGTATCTATACACCACACACAACAGATTATTCAAAATTCATCTATTTTCAAATGAAATTCCCTTCTTTTAACACTGTTACCAGTATCATACCATGAGCGAAATTTGGCCGTAAAATGCCTAACTCCGTCCGTGATATTACCCTTGCATTTTGTTACAGATACCTCATGATCACGATGATTTTGCTGGTACTCTTTTGCACTTTCGCAGATTTACTTTTGGCCACTTTTCAAAAGAAAAATGGGGGTTTGAAAATTTCTTCAGCCAACGTCACAGGTGAGACTCACTGTCAGGTAAAACGTAAGAGCCAATGGTGGTTTCGGAATCTCAAACAATTTGATGTCACGTATGTAGAGGCGACCCAAGGCAAACCGTAACGAACAGGAGACGAGACTGACGAAACTGGAAAAGGTTCTGCAAAGTCAGTCTGTTTCCAATACTGCCGTACATAGGAAAAACGCCGTATGAGCCTTCAGGCGTTGCCAAATTTCCTTTAATAAATCACGAATTTTTCGAAAAATTTGTTAACGCGTTTTCCCTCCAATTTTTTATATGATTTTGTTTGCAATTTCACCTAAATTTCCTAAAAATTCCAAGGAAAAATACCCATAGCTTTCTTCAAAAATAAACATTTTATCGCCGGAAATATGGTAATTCTCGAATGTTCATACGGCGTTCTTCCTAAGCACGACAGAATACCTATAGGTTCTTTCTTTTACATATTGCTTGCCTCTGCCAGAGAAACATTTCGTTAGCGCTTGCTATTATGACTGCTTGCATCCGCGTCCACTCGAAACGACGCGGTCGTGCGGTGGTCGCTATCGGTGTGATGGCTAGAAAAATCAAAACGCCTTCAATTTTAACTGTAGGCAACATTGACAGCCAGAGAACACGAATAGTTGCATCCGTGTGATGGACCCTTGCTCTCGCGTTTTTCAGCCAAGATACGACCATTCCCATTCTGCCATGCTAAGAAAAAACGCTGTATGAACATTCGAGAGTTGCCAAATTTCCTTCAATTAAATGTTTACTTTTGCGAAATTGTGAGCAAAATTATCTAAAATGTGGAAGAAAAATATTCATATGTTTACCTGGAAATTCGTGTTTTATCAAAGGAAATTTGGCAACGCCTGAAGGTTCATACGGCAGCATTAATCTGAACTTGCAACGCTTTGGTAATTTTTTTGCTAATGTTTATTGGCGGGCGCTTATAGTTTACTAGATAATATATTTTTTACACCCGACGATAAGAGCAAAGTTTTTGAGGATGAACACTTTGAACTAGCAAACGGAAAGACCAAGAAATTTTAGAACGCACTATACGACAAATTTTTCGCGTAAATTGGTACTATGAGAGATCGATATATTCGGGGAACATCACACCGATTGTCAAAATGACGACTCGATTAATTTCAAAGACAACTCACAGAAAGTCCATGATTGGTTTATGTGATGATGCTTCGAGTTAAAGAATACCTGATTAAGACCAATCCAGGTTTTAGCTATCTCTAAATGAACTCCATCTCAAAATGAGTCGAGTCAATCTCCAAGAGAACATTTCTGGTAAGATCCTTCATATTACTCAAAAAGAATGTGCTCGAATACTTTTTTTCAAGGGGCTAGAAGATGGATTTCACCGTTCTCTATTCTCCGAAACCTTCCCCAATTATTTGCAACGACCTCCTCTCCGGATGATTACAAGATGTTGCATGGAATAAAGGCTGCACTCATGCTGTTTGTCGTGATTGCTCACATTTCTTCGATACGAATGCTCGGAAAAGCAGCCATTGTCAATTGGGACTATGTTGAAGACGTAAGTATGTCTTATAGAACTACAGGTATATTTGCGTTATATACTTTATAAAATTCTCACTTACCCGGATAAAATTTAAGAGGAACAAAAAGGATAATAGAAAATTCGTGCTCGCAATAAGGACTAAGTATTCTCGAAATTTTTTCTCGACTTCAAATTTTTACAGGTGCATGATTAATTGAGTTAAAAGCTACTTCTAGATTATGACCCCCGCCCCTCCCCCAAAATTTATAAAGCTAAATTATTTCGATTGCTTAGTAGTAATTACGGAGCATTACCTAATCATTTTATTTCACAGCTACTTGCACGGCCAAGTCCTCTCTTCTCAGCAGCATCACTGTTGCCAGACTTTTTCTATTGTATATCCGGATTTTTAATGTGTCTTTCGATGATGAAGAGACTTAACGCGGGAAAGTTCAATTTCTGGACGCATATCATAAACAAACTGTTCAGGTTAGTTACTCGTTCTTTAAATCCTGTAGAACTGATTACCTATATAAATTAATCCTCCTCATATTTGTACGAATATTAAGGCGTCTTAGTGGTTTAATTAGGAAAGAACGAGCTTTCTATCAATAACTCCTGGAAACATTCGGCCAAAAATCATTATTTCTATTAGAATGCAGGGAAAAACAACTAGTGTGAAATAGTTGCTTCAGACGCCGTGGCACGCTGCGGCGCGGCGGGCGGGCAGAGAGCGCGAAACGCGCATTGGCGCCTACAAACCTAACAGGGATACTTCACGCATTGCGCAATGCGTGAAGTATCCCTGTTAGGTTTGTAGGCGCCAGTGCGTCGCCGCTCCGCTTTGTGTTAGACTCTAATATTTAAGTTCGCGGAGTCAGCGTTTTTCAACTCATGATTTTGAAATGTTTGCACTCTCTGTATGGATTATTCTCATTTTAATTAATGAAAAAAAAAATGTTTTAAAGGAAAATATAACGTGTGTTATTAAGGTAGTTCCATATCAAACTTAATGATTTTCAAAGCACACGAATTTCTACACAATTTCTTATAGCCTTTTATAGCCAATGGCGATAAAGTGTAAAGTCCGGCGATAGGAACTATAGCCCGACTGTATATAATTTTTTATAGCTTCGTATAGCCCGGCTATATGATTTGCTCCGCTTTCTACAGCTAGCTATATGATTTTCAATAGCCTTCTTTAGTCGGTTATAAGAACTCCTATGGTATTTTGAAACGCAGCTCCTATCGCCAATTTTTACCAGGGTGGAACAATAATTTTACTATTTTATTGCAATTTATTACAATATTTGCTACTTGGAGTGTCAATTGTACCGCTGCATGTCGACGGCTGAAAGTATAGGAAAATGCATATCTCCGATCGCAACGTTGCAAGTTTCCACTCATCTTAAATTTTCTTGAAAGAGAACTAACTGACAATTTTTCTGTGAAATTCCCCCCTCGGTCAAGTATATTCGCAGATAATTTCTAGAGCATTTCATGTTAGTTTCATTTTAAAAAGATGAGACATGATCCAAAATCTTGATATATTGCAATCCGTTTTTTTCGCCTTCAGTCATCTGTATAGCGAAATATTTTACTAAATATTCTATTACTGAAAACAGAGAAATATGAAAACAATGAAGTATGTCTACAAACATATATCCCTTGAAAATTGTTATAGAGTCTTTCCACCGTACTTTTTTTTCCTAGCGGCCACCATTTTCATTCTTCCCTCATTGGGCACCGGACCTTTCTGGAAATCTTTCATTGAACCGGAGGTGGAATTCTGCCGGAAAAACTGGTTGCTCAATATCATGTTTGTCAACAATTATGTTCTTCCTGGCGAATGGGTAAGGAAAACTCTTTATTGCCGCTATTTACCTACCTAGGCTTTTACACTGATACCTATCGACGGTGGAACTACAGAGATACACATTTTCAAGAGCAGCCCGAGACGATGATAACAGTGGAAAAAACAAGGTGGAAAAACGGGAAACAATGCTAAAAATATACAATTAATAAAACCCGAGACGTTGCGACTCAAAACTGAGTCATTTTCAGTCGGAAACAAAAAATAAATTTAAAAAAAACGATAAAAAACCTAAGTCCTACATGGTGGTGGCCGGGATTTTAGAAAATGACTACCAGACCACGTATCTCGGTTTGCGACGTTGCAGACTTCCTGTCATAAGTGCTTTATTTTTTAAATGGAAAACCATTCAACTTCAGTTCTTGAAAACTTTTGTGATTTTTCCTCTTCGTGCAGAGAAAACCCTGCGAAAATGTTAAGGAATGATACCTACTCATCTGATCTCCTAAAAAAAAAATAATAATAATAATAAAAAAATTGAGCGGAGATTTGTAAACACCGTAAACGAGATAGGTACGCGGTCTAATAGTTTCACCGTCGCTTGGAACTGTAATGGAAGCGGGACATTTGAAAAGGGGCCAGGAGCCGAGAGTCCCTGTATCTGACTCTGTGTCCCCCGGTCAAAAAATTGTCGCATTAGTGCCCCGGAGAAAAAAGCGACGACTACTCTGCGTCCTGTCTTGAAAATAATGCTACTTATTTTCGAGAAATCGCAAAATATTGTCTCGTATTTTTGAGTGCCCAGAAACTTTATACATTGAGAATGAAACTCATTACCGAAGAGCTCCTAAGCTACCAGAAAAACAACTAGCCCGCTCGAACCTACAATTAGATGCCTATATTTTACGTCGTTTTACCCTTTTCTTTCTTTCAGTGTTTCCCTCATACGTACTTCATAGCAGCTGATATGCATTTTTTCATGGTGGGCACAGTCATTGTATACCTTTGTTGGCGGTGGAATTCATATAAAGGCGTCGTTTTGGGGCTTGGAGCCTTTCTCAGTTTCTTCATGCCTTTTCTGACCGTTTATCTCAATGATTATGACGGCGTTTTGAATTTCGACTACAAGTAAGTTGAAACGAATTCAAAGATTTCGCTTCTTTTTGGCTGAACGAGAGGAATAACTTCCCCGAGACGGTTTTGAGATTTTGCTAGCACGACATTTATATTTCAGATAAGTGTTCTTAGCACTAAGGAGCTAGTGAACAGCCATATATGCCTAGGCTAGTATTTATATTTCAGATAAGTGTTCTTAGCACTAAGGAGCTAGTGAACAGCCATGCTTAAGGCTTGGCTTCCGGGAAGTCACAGAGTTTGAGGTTAAATTGCAACCATTCTCTCTAAATCGGAAAACAATTAGTCTTCGTTAGCACGAGGAAAAAGAGAAGAAAACAAAATTTAAGTTAAAATAAACTTTTCCACCCCTGTCCGTTCATCAATCAGCAAAAGTCATTGATTTGATTCCGAGGTGAAGAGATCGAAATTCAGTGATAATGAAGCTAGTTTGACGTGTTACAAACCGTTTGACATGAAATATTTTAAAAAAAGAGATGAAAAAAAATAAAAAATTTTAAAATAGTAAAGTGGTGTTTTCGCCTTCAGTCGTTTACCCACTTCTGCTACTCTATGATTCGAGTTTTTTTTCATGACGTCTCGTGGATACCAACTCCTCTATAAGTTGTCACAGTAAGATTTACACATTGAGCCGGTGAGTTCGATTTAAAATAATAGGAAGCAGTCACTAATCCTTTACTAGTTTACTCCTCGTGTGCATTTCTTCATTCAGAAAGCGTCTTGGCGAATACAACTATTGCGACTCGCGAGGACCCTCTTTTGCCTATCTCATCAATTGAAGGCGAATCTAGCGTCTTGCTTGAGATCGAACGATTATAAGGCGGCGCGCGCGGTGACGGGCCTTTTAAATTACATTCACATTCTCTTTCAAAGAATATCACTGTAAAACGTTGCACTTAATCGAGAAAGAGATGAAAGCAGTAAAAAAGTCTTCAGATACCAACGTAAGAAACTAAAAATATTAAATTCAGCAACAACGGCACGTTTACTGGTGGCCAGATAAATGGACGCTGGTGATGCTCGGTTTGATGAAAGCTTGTTTCAAGTTTTAGTGCTTGATCAAGAAACTAAAGATGAAATCTTTGAGTCTTAAAAATACTTGTTGCTGCTAATAATACTTGCACTCGCCCCACTTCATTTTATTATTTTTTTCGTTCTGCTGATTTCAGATCGATGACAACGATCCGACAGCATCAATATTTCTTGATGGTTTACATGAGGAGTCATACCAGATGCGGTGGTTACATGATTGGTATCATTGCCGGATTTTCATTGCTAACTTTACAAAAAAGAGGCTATTGCTTTTCGAAAGTGAGTATATATTATGTTATACGATTGGAATGGACCACTAGACAAGGTACGAATTTAAGCATTCTGATGGATGTTTCCCACGTAGAATTTCACGCAAAACACGATTCTTGCATTGAAAATTACTGAAATCAACTCTTGACGAAGAAATTAACGTTTTTATTTTACATCGGTTACGGGAATTTGGAATTGCCCGGTTACAAGGAACGCGATTCTCTACGTGAGCCACGACAGTTTTGGCAGGCTTCTCAATCGAGCATTGTTCCTTTCCCACTCTTCATCGTTCATAGGGTAAAAAAATTGCTATGACTGAGCCAAAGCGTCAAAATTGAGGTTGCCAGATTTTCATATCGCAGAAATTGTAATGGTAAAGTTTTGTGTGCGATTAGACTCACGTAGACTATTGTGTTTTCATGAGCGGGAGGTTTGAGCTCATGAAACATAAAATATCTTAGTTAGGAGTTAATTTCAGTAATT